CTGTTCCCACCAAAGTCAGTTGATTTCCCACATGCCTGCGTAAAGGATGAGCAGGTCATGGCCCAGGAAGAGACCTACTGCTGAGAGTCATCTGAGTAAGACTGCTGTGGAAGCCTAGCCAGTTTATAAAAGGATTTAAGGCTAGGATTCCCACATTTGCTCTGAGGAGACAGCCCCAAAGAGTTACTGTGCAGCTCCTGTTTCTCCTTCAGCTGCTAGTCTTCACCTCCTTCACATAGTATTTCATATCTCTTTAAGTGAGCCCCATCTCTTTGAGATAAAATCCTGCTTTCAATTAGTGTTGTTTGCCTTATGAGCATCTGAAGTTTGAATTATTTTTCTCTTTTGTCTTTTTCTGAGTTTGTTTTCTGTATAAGATGGTGGTTTCCATAGATACCTTGGACATCGTTTATCTCTCCTTCCTGGACATACAGTTCCTCCCAATTACACAACAATTTGCCATATCTGCTTGAGTCCTTGGTTTCTTCATCCATATCACTGCTATACTGAACATTTTAACACTGTTGTTCTAACATGTCACCTTGATAAGCTGCCTTGTTCTCTTTACACAGCTTTCAATCCACATGATGGAACTCTTGTCCAGCCAGTTTTAAATTCAAAATTGGTACATTGCATGTCTGTGTTAGGATTTTGTACTGATAATTGCTGGAAACTTTAGCTCAGCTTTTCTCTGCTATGGGTAACTGTTAAACAAAACAGTGTTTTGTTATTTTTGTTCCCCTCCCCCCACCCTTGAGAATGTTATCAAAGAACAAAGTCTGGCAAAGTATTCAGGATTGGTATGCTCCTAAATGAGAGCTGAGATAGCAATGACGTTGTTCTTTCAGACAGCTCTAGCGTGAGTTTTCTCCCTTTATCCTGTCTCCACCTTGTCCTGGAGGAAAGCGTTTGTCCTGGATTGCAGAGATAGATGCTAATGTGAGTCACTGCTTGGTATTTAGTGGTGAGAAATTAGAGCGCTATCAGTCTCCCCAGGTCCTAACAGAAAGAAAGAAAAATCTGGACATGGTGTAAATTAGTGCTTTCTTGGGTGTATTTTGCTCTTATCAGGCTATTCATGCACAAGTGGGGCTGTTCTGCTGATTCAGCATCACAAGAAATGATGCCAGGACAGCTCCAGGCCACACTTAAGGAATTACAAAGGAGACCATTAGAGTCACAAGTTTTCTCTTTAGCTGATTTATAAATGGATTTGTTTTCTTTCTTGCTCATTTGTACCAGAGCTGTTAATAAATAACCTTTTCAATGTCCCTGCTCCTGCAGGAGATGTGAGGAAAATGTGTGCTCATCTGAACTTGCTGCAAGCTCTGCAGCTGGGCTGGAGATCCTGTGGCTGGAAGGTTGGCTCTGGCTTGAGCTTGACCTCCCATCCCAAGCCAGAGGGGCAATGGTGCTGAAAGAGGCTGGGAAACAGCAGACCTCCAGTGGCTCCAGGGAAGCAGCAGAGCTGTTATGGGCCCAGAAGGACACCCTGGACAGAAGTGTGGGCTGCTGTGACTGCCCCCTGTACCCATGCTGCCTTATCCAAAATATTTCATGTTTGTATTTTGAAATATTTGAGGCAAGAATAGTGGGAAGAGGGAAGATTAATGGAGACGCACAAATTGAAGGCCAGACTATGGCTTGATTATAAATGGATTTCTTTTCCTGACCCTAATTCTTCTCTCAGGATTTACTGCACATCCCACTAATAAATAATCTGAATTTTAGAGATTAATGGCATCCTGTGCCAGCCCATTCATCCAGCAACACTCCTTTGCTGTTTTGTTACATGTCAGCATGAGGCTCCAGCCTTTTCAAAGTGTTCCTCCGATCACAAAAATTTAGATTCATATTTACGTTATTACCTTTGTAACTTCCAAAACGTATTTATTCTCTTACGTTCAGGAACTTTGTCAAGGCCTGTGCCCTGCAATAGCCTTTGATCCCATGTTCCTTACCATTGGTTGTCACTAAAAATACCACAGGGTAATTTGTTTCCTGCTATTTGAAATGGAAATTGTAGTAGCGTGAGGAACAGAGAATTATATTCATGCCAAATATCGTGAGCGGAATTCTCCTCATGGTTTGTGGGAATCCTAGTAATTAAAGCTGACCTCTGAGAAATCAGTATATTTTTCCACCAGGCCTAGGCAGTGGATGTGCTCCTCAGCAAAAGAAAGAAACTGTTCCAGCTGTTCCTTGTCCTGTGCTCTGCAATGAGGAATTGAGATCGCAGTGCTGACAGCTGGAGGTAAAGGGGTGAGTTGGGAAGTGTTTAAGCTGAGTGCTATCGTTTTTCATTCAGGCACCCCTAACCCTGGCCTGCTGAAAGGAGGCAGCACGGCTGCTCCCTGCCTGAATAGCAAGAGGTCTTTGCTTCATCTGCTAGGATTAGCTGCAAAGGGAAGGTACCTACAGTGCTCTCTGCTGCAAATGGACGCTATGCATGTTAAGGGAGGAAAAACACCCTGGGTACCTTGTAGGACTGAGAAATGCTCCTCTAAGACAGCAAATAGATGTGCTGGAAACCACAACATTAAGGGGTGGCACCACCTGGATATAGGGAAAATCCCAGGCACAGTTAGGCACTGCAGGTTATGCACTGGCATGTGGGACTGCTGTGGAATGGGCATCACCCCCAGGAGCCTTGCCAGTGCTGCTGATGCTGCACCAGATTGGAACAGTATTTGTGTGTCTGTGATCAGTCTCCAATGGTTTTGGTCCTGAATGGGAAGTGAAACTTCAGGAGAAATGCCGGTTGCTTTTCTGTGCAGAAATCGTCGGGCAGCACAGGCAGCAGCTCCACTTGCTGACATGTGGCATTTTGGGCAGCTGTGCTGTTTATTTTGGAAAGCAGGGAAGTGAGCCCCTGAAAGCAGTAATGTTATTCAGCATACAAGGTGATCCCAGGAATCTACAGTTCAGAGAAAACATCCTTGACCTGTGCTGAGAGGCTTGGTGGCCTCAGCCCCTCCAAGGCTGTCAGTGGAGAGGGCACACAGGAAAACTGGTGAATCTGGGGCTGTGTTTTGATCACTGAGAGTGAAATCATGCTGGGTGCAGAGTGAGCTGTGGGAGACCAGGGGTTTGGATCTTTTTCCTCCACGGTCATTCCCCATCAGAACCTCCTGTAGGGCGTTGCAGCATTTACAAAGCTCAGGACTTTTTGTTCTCCAGGAAGTTTCTGAACTTGCTGGCCCAACGTGGGTGTTGAAGGGGGGAGTGTTTGTTCTGGAGGCTGTTTCCTCTCTTTTTTCTATGATAACTTGTACATCCCCCCTCATGTGTGGGTGGTTGATGGGACACAGGAAAGGGTGGGCCGTACTGGGTTGGTGATGTGACTCACATCGCCCATCTTCCAGTGTCAGCAGTGGTCCTGCTGTCTTCAGTAGCAACAGCAATTAAATACTTGTACACAATAGCTGCCTGGGGCTGGACTGGGAGCAAGAGACCAAAGCACTGAAGGTCAGTACCCGTCACAAGCCAGGATGCTGGAGACAGAGAAGGGCATGGCTCTCTATGTAGGGACAAGAAAAGCTGATATGATTGTGGATTTTAGTGAAAGACAAGGCAATTTGTCAGAACTGAGGGTGACCATCTCATAATTTGCAATGCATTACTTCCAGCTCAAGAGAAATGTATGTTGACCCCAGTCTCAAGAAAAAAAGAGTGATTTCTATGAGAGTTTTGAATTATTATAAAAGTAATGTACACTTATTCTTTGTCAACAATGACTAGTAGCTCTTAAAAGAAACAACATCACAAAATAAAAAATACTTGAGTTGAATCAGCTGAGCATTTAAAATGTGGAAATAAGAATGCTAATAAGAAGCGGACCATTTTCTTCTTATTTCATTCCACAAGACTATAATTCAATAGTTGAAAGTTATGTTAATTTGAAAATAATAAAATCTCTTAAAGATGCATATTCAGAGGCAAAAAAGGAAAATAAACCTAATGCAAATTTAAAATTGGAAAGTGTAAAAGATGGTCGAAAGAAGCATAAGGAAAAAATCATGGCCAGAGAGTTAAGAAGAGAAAAAAGAATGTGCGGGTCTTGAGTACAAATGGAAGCCTGGCAGCACTGTTGGGCCATTGCAAGTCTGTGTATTCAAGCTATCAATAATGACAGAATGTCAATGCTTGATGCATCTTATTTTTTTCCCCAAAAAAAGACAAAGAAATACCTTCACATCATGTGATAGTCAAGCATATTCAAGCAATAATTTAGCTGGTAAGCCAGGGAGGAGGGGAAGCCTCCTTGAGCTCACCGGATATTTTCTGATGAAACTTCAAGCTTTGTGGGTAGTGGCAATAAATCTTCTCCAGTTATAAAATAGCTTTGATGGTTAGTAGCAAATTAATACCAGAGGTTTCCTGACAGGAAACTGATGTAACTGATAACAGTTTGCTCTTTTGATTTGAAAAACCTCTTCGATGTGAGAATCGTAAGGAAGTGAGTATGAGTACAAGTAGGGTACAGGCTTAGAAGTCCAGTGAACAGCATATAAATGTGAAAATTAACTACCTAAAGGTCATTGCATCAGCAGCATCCTGCCAGTTGCTGGTTGTATTTAAGAATATTGAGGATCTGGGTCTGGTTGCTGTGATGCAAGTCAGAAAAAGATCTTCCTGTAGAGGAATTATTTAATGAGCAGGTGTTGGCAAGACTTGGTGGGGCTAATGTACAACACCAGGGAGATGGGCTGTGAGGCCAGGGTGGGAGGGGGTGTGAGTGCCTTGCAGAGAGCCAGGGAGGCTGAGCACACCCCCAGCTCTGTGCCATGGGAAGGTCTCTGACAGGGGAACCTGCTCTGTGCACCAGTGAATGGGGCACTTATGGTGTGGCAGTCTGGGCCACTAGGGCTCATGGCCAGAACCCCTGGCCATCACCTCTCCAGCAGTAACTCTGTGCCACAGGGCCATGGGGCTGTCTGAGCACAAAGCCTCTCTGTGCTGGGGGCAGCTGTGGAGGGGAGAGAAGGGCCTGGGTGCTGCCTGCTCCTTTGTATCCATCTCTTGCTGCTATTGTCAGCTTTTGCTGCCTCCAGCCCTCAGCAGCTCTCCAGGATTTCCACGTGCTTTTCTTTTTTCCAGGAAAAGAGGGCTCATTCAATGTATCCTGTGCAATTTCCCAGGGTTGTATCCCAGCCACAGCACTACAAGCAGCAAAAGGATGAGGTGCTCCCACACCAGGCAGTGCTGCACACATGCACAGCACACAGCAGGGTGGCTGCCGTGGCTGAATTATGTCTGAACAAAACCTGGAGCTGTGCTGGGCAAAGGAGGGAGCACCTTTGTACAACTGCATCTGTATCTCACAGGGAGAGCAGATGCACTGCATTGGCTTTGCTGACTACAGTGTAGTTTATGAGTGCATTGTCCCCTTTTTGCTGACTCTCCTCCTCCTGAACCAAAGAAACAGAACTGTGAGAAAATCCAGGAGCCACTCTCATCCTGAGGGATTGGCTACACCAGCACTGGCATATAGAAATGTCATTTGTCTGAAGACAACGGATGTGCCTTTTTACTCTCCTTTTTTGCAAACTTAACAATTCAGTTCCTTCAGTCTTTCCTCATAGCTCAAGCTTTTAGGCTTGTGATCTTTCTTGTTCTCCTCTGGAGTTTCTCCAAATGGTCTCATCTTTCCTGAGAGGCATTGTCCAAAATTGTTCATGGAACCTCACAGGAGGATTTACCAGCTTTAGATGGAGGGAAAGATTATTATAAACTGCTATAGCTGCAGCAACATTTTCTCTGGAAAAGCTACTAAACAGGTTTCTTACCACACTGTCTTTGGGTGATGGCTCTTACCTAAATGTCATATTTTCTTTTGTCTTTAAGTGAGTTTTATGTTTCCACCAGGCTCTCACCTATTTGTCAAATGTATTTTCAATTCCAGTCCTATGTGTCAGTGTGCTTTACTCCCAGCTTGGTGTTGCCTTAAATACAGGCACACTCTTTGTCTTCCAGCTCACTAATGCACAGATATCTGTGCACATTGGACAGTTCAAGCTGCCAAGCTGTATGGCCTAAATTCATAGGAGTCTGTGGGTTTTGAGACATGTAGGGATGCATGATTTCAGTATCAAATGTCTCTGAGAGACAGCATCCAAAAAAGCCATTATACTGTTTGGATTATCAGTTTCACTGACACTTCAATGTTTGTACTTCAGCACTTACAAGTATTTCATCTGGAAAAAATATAACCCAGTAACAGTGTATTTATTATCCTACATAGCACTACAAGGAGGGGCAGAGATCATACCAGTATTTAGGCCACAGTCTTTGCCATATGAATGATTAAAACTAGGAGAAGAGTCTCCCACACTGTTCCATGTAATTGTTGTAAAAAATGTAAAAACCATATCTGGAGCTTGAATTCTAATTTCAACATGCTGAGTGTCTTGTCCTGATATTTTGAAATAAAACCCCTTAAACCAAAGTCGTTGACTTACCCTATATGTGCTTGTATGTAAATTCTAAGACAAACCTGAGCCTCTTGACAGCCTAAGAAAGACTTTTCCAATATGCTGGCCTGAAACAGGTGGTTTACATTACTTTACAACAAAGTCTTCCTAGATAACTGAGATACAAGCATGTTTAAATGAAAAAGGCAGATGAAGAATGAGTAAGAAGTCTGTTGGGGATAGGGAATACTTCATAAAAGGGTTGATAAATGAAGCAGTGTGGCTCTTCAGACTGTTTATGCACTCAGATTTCGGTTGTGGTGAGTCTGGAGACAGGAGTGCCTTTTGGGTAATGTGCATCAAACCCTGAACCCTGCAAGTTCAGCAAGCTCACAGAGTAATCAGTTGAGGTAGTTTCAGGCAATTCAGCCTGAAAAACTTCATGACTACTGAAAGCTCATTTTCACTCACCAGGAGGATGATGTGTGTGTCTCCTCTCCATGTTGAACAGCCACACTGACTGCTCCCATGCCCTTTCCCTGCCATCACTGCCAGCAGATCTCCACAGACACAAACTCCTGCAGTTAGAAAATGTGCACGGACTGCATTGCCAGAGCCCCTCTCTCCTGGGTGCACTTGTGCAGTGGAAGAGGGGATGGCTTTGCAGTGAAACCTTTTGTGATCCCTTCTATAACAGACTGAGCATGAGCATCCAAATAAAAGATCAAACATCAACATTATCTGCTATGCTAAGTCAGAGCTTACAAAAATATTTGTCTTTATTAGAGATGATGGGTCACAGTGAGATTGTCTGAACCAAGCATGGCTTTGGTCTATGTACAGCATCTTCTCTTTTCTGCTTGACATTCCTAATGTCACTCCTTAAACAAGCTGTAGTCTCTTCTTATTGCACATCTAAAAGCAGCTGGTTGCCTGATTCCTTTTAACTTTTGTTACTAAGTCTTGTTTGGTGAGGAGGGAGTTGAGGGTGAGCAGCCTTGGCTGTCAGTGACATCTCCTGGCACACAGAGGTGCCGGTGAGTGTAATATTGGCTGGAGGGGCCATTTTCTGTTTGTCTCTGGTCAACACAAGCTCTGGAAGACACAAGAGTCAAATTTGCTTCCTTGCCTTCACACAGAGCTGCCTCCCACACTGGTGTGGTCCTTCCTGGTTATTCACTAAGAGCTACAGGGTTTCCACAGCAAAATTGCTGCTACCTGGAGTGACTGGCAACATCCTTCTCAGTTCTCTGTCTTGGACACAGAAAATATGTTAGACCTGTTTATGTTTTGGGGCCATCACTGGATGGAACCAGCAGTAGCCCCTACAATAAAGCAAAGACACCAAAATTGGAAGCAGACAGAGATGCCTGAGCAGCTGGGCTGTGCTCCAGCATCTGGAGAGTGCTCAATGCCCGCAAAGCCGGGCAGGGCTCCAGCATCAAGCAGCTCTGAGCTCTGACAGCAGAAAAGCAGCATCATTTCTGTGCCTACTGATGGCCCTACGAGATGTTTTAGTCACTGCACACAGTGGGCAGTATGAGAGAAAGAGTAGAGATCTGTTTGGATTCTGACTGGGCACGGGGTCAGATCATCTCTGCTTAATCTTTATGTGAGGAAAACTTCTAATGGAAGGAAAACCTTGGGGCCTGGCAATTAGTCAAGTACTGCTCCACTTGGTTGGTGGACACTGGAGAGTGTTTGCATGGCACTCAGCAGTGTGAATGTGACATTCCAAGGAGCTGGAGGAACCTGGAATAACTTAATTCTTTAGCCCCTGCAGAACCTGCAATTACACCTAGAGCTGATGGAGGTAATCAAGTGCACAGAAAAGGGAACTTACTGAAATACCTCACCTTCCTGAAAAAACTACATTGTATCCTTTAAATAGATTGACAGTATTGGTTTTTTATTTGGTTTTTGTTTGGATTTTTAAAATAAGTTTGTCTTTTTTAAGCAAGTGTATCGAGTATTCAAGTTGTACATTTTGAGTACTCTTTGGAAGATTATTATTTTGTTCCACTACCTTCTGGACCATGCTTATCACCTTGTACCCTCTCTTGTATGAAACATTGAAATAAAATGCTCCTTGGTAGCATTAGAGTTCACAGGGATGGATGGTCTGGTATGGGATACAGCAATGCACTTATCTAAAAATCCCAGAGTCCTGAAAAGTGCTCATGATAGTGAATTAAAATTCAGGCAAAAGTCATATTCAGGGTTAAGAAAATAATGTGGCTTGGCAAAAAAATGGCTTATCTCAGGCTACAGGTGGAATGCAGACAATTATCATTACACCTCTGCCTTCAGACAAGGGATTTCTAGCTCATAATTGGGATGGTTCATTACAGTGAGAATAATGCTCCTGCTTTGCTGCCAGTGCTGGTACTTTGAGAGTGCGGCTGCTGAAAAGATACAGCAGTCTGACAATACCCGTCACAGCAGGAAATCCGAATGTCTTAGAACTTGTGCAAAATCACACATCCTTCACTCCTATGACAGCAGACACGTAACAAATTAGTTTGTGGTTACCTCTAGACAAGATCTCAGGGTAAGGGTGACAATAATTATGTGGATGTGCAACTGTCAGCAGCAGTTTCAGTTTTCAGGCACGCTAACTTCATATCTATACTGCAGCTAATTCTACATTATAGCATCTGCTCTAATTTTGCTAGGGTTAAAATAATTTTTGTTCAACAGACATGCTCAGTGCTATCATAACCTGAGCCAACTACTCTCCCCAATAAGAAGGAAGGTCTCCCAGCCGTCATGCTCTGCTGTTTCTAATCACTTCAAGCCCTGAGTTCTGGCCATTTTTGAATAGAGTTGGATAAAATACACTCTTACTTCCTACGGTCTGGTATGTGGGCTATTTTTTTAAGCTGCATTCTTGGAGATATTGGCGAGCAAGCTGAGGCTCTAACAGGCACACACAAAGTGCAAGCGTTACAATGTTCCAAATTTCACAGTTAACCTCAGCAGATTTACTCATGGGAGGGAGCACAGAGCTCCAGGTCCGTGTTACATTCCCAATGGGCCTGCCTGCAGCATCTTCAAAGCCAGCTCTCCTGGCAATTTTAGGTTCTGTTTTCTCTAAGAAGGTAAGAAGCTGTTAGTTGCCTATAGTTAGAGATTTCCCAAGCGTGTTGCTTCTTTTCACTTGGGCTAACTTCTGAGAATAACTTGAGGATATAGGGTCATTTGTAAGGTCAGGTAATTAATATAATTTAAATATTATATAATAAATAAATAAATATTATCTATAAATATATAATAAATAATATATATTCTATATTATTGTATATATTAGATAATAAATGTAATAATAAATAAATGAAATTTAATATAATTTTGAGACCTGGGACTACCTCTCACATAATACCAGAGCAGTTAGAAGCTTACCCTGATCAGAACTTGAATGCTTTTCATATTTGCGTGCTTGATATGAAGTGCCGGGATGGATTTGGAGCATTGATCTGGGTCTGGAGATCTCTGGAACACAAGTTCTGGCATGCAGATGCAGAGCAGGTTCAGTCACCTTCTCACAGTGTGACAATAGTCGATGTGGTTGCTTGCACCAAGGTATTGCCATCCTGAATGGCCTGTAAGGTACTTCTAAACATCTCCTGGAGTATTTGTGTATAAGGAGAAGAGAAAGTATTTCTCATGTGAGTCAGATGATCAGTGCTTTTGAGTATGGAGCATCACTGTGGGTGGAAATTAATTTCATGTCATAGTGGGACCACATATGTCCCCTGGAGCTATTTGCTTGTTTTAAGTGTTGAATTTACATCCAAGGTATAAATCTGGAAAATACACTGATACTCTTTCTAGAGGTCCATGTAGAAAGATGGTATTTTATTAAACAGTTGCAAAACTGACCAAGTCTGAGTTGTGAAATGAGGTTTTGACTGTGGGATACATGAATGATTATCCAAAGCAGAAGAATGTGAAAGACAGCATCATGCTAGCCACTAACAAGTGCAAGTAGATGTATATTGGTTCTGAAAACTAAAATGACATATTGGTTGTGAATTATTTTATCAGTCATAAGTGATTTTTTACAGAATTCCATTGCAAACCATGCATATTAAACCACAAAAATAGTTTGTTGGATAGGTTATTCCAAATATGCCTGTAACATTTAAGGAATTAGAGTGGTACAAGTTCTGCAAAGTGTGTAATTTATAACCATACTGTGCCAATTCTGCAAACACAGGCCATTCATAACCTGGTGGGCAAAGGCAAATGTTTCATAGGAAAAGGGACTACAGGAACATGCCAAAAGACACGCCTTTGGGGTGTGAGGGAAGATGGGCTACTGGGATACTAACATCCTCCTTCTGCTCTAGTCACAGGTACCAAACCAAAGATGTCCTCAACAAGAATGATTCTACTCATCCTGGGATTCCTCTCTACTTTGGCTGTAATCGCTTTAATTGCTGTAGCAGTGACCCAAAACCAGCCACTTCCGAAGAATATTAAGGTACTACAAGCTGGTACTCTTAGAGGAAAACAAGCCAGGGGGTTGGGTGTCCCTAGTGCCCACAGACATGTCACTGCCCTTGCTGGCTCTGGATAACCTCTTTTTCTGGCTCCAAGCACCTCGACATCTCGTTTTACATCTTTGTGGTAAAACAAATTACAGCTTCCCGGGGAATCATCTCTTAAGTTAGCAGTCCCAGCTTGGCAGTTTCTCTGCTGTTTCCTTTGACGGGAGTTTTGCGCTGAGAAGAGCAGTGACACACGTTCCCACAGCCGGCAGACAGATGGGCTGTGTGTGTCTGGTCCCCTGTGTGTGGTGGCCAGCACGCACTGGGTCTGGTTCGGTGCCTCAGGTGTGGCATGGGCTCTGTTTTGCCCACAGTATGGGATCGTGCTGGATGCGGGATCGTCCCACACCAACCTCTATGTGTACGAGTGGCCAGCAGAGAAGGAGAACGACACTGGGGTGGTGAAGCAGGTGGAGGTGTGTAAAGTTGAAGGTAAGAGGAGAAAAAGGAGCTGGGGAAGGGGTGTGGGATGAAGAAGAGATAATGTAATAAAAGGGTGAGGGAGGAGAAATCTAGGGGAAGAGGTCAATAGTAGAAACAGTGTTACATCTGTGATAATGTGCATCTCACTGCTTCCCATGGGGAGCTGTACGTGCCTGACCTTCCTGGGGAGAAAAATGGATCCACTTTTTCCTTTGTTTTCAGGATACTTGGAATTAATTGCTTTTTGGAAAGAACTACACCAAAGAATGTACTTAAATAAATAAAATGTCTGCATGCACTCTTGCTGAAGTGCTGATGAACGCAAGGAGAGGGGAGAGCATGGTTTGCTCTTTTTCAAGGCTTCTGTGCAAGCTATGCACAGGCTTGTGGCTCAAGGGTGATTTGTGCATGTCATGGCACTTTTTTAATTCTATTTAATTGTTGTGTAGATACTGCAGGGTTTAGGAAGGCATGAATAAAGCCCAGAGGTGCACACAAGGAGGAACAGCACAGACCGTCATGGATTGCTGCATTCTGAGGTGTTGTCAGACCTGCCTGGGGTCTTTTCAGGCCTCTGCAGTGCAGGGAAGAGCCCTACTGTTATCAAGCTGCTGTGATAGCTGCTCAGTGCTGCAGCATCCCACGGCACAAGCAGCACAATGAGCATATGGCAAGCTGGAGCAAATGGGACCCCACTGCTGCATGCAGGCATTGGTCCTGGCACATTCCAGGGAACCAGGGGACACATGGCAGAGAAGGACAATGATTTTTTCCTTGGGTTAGCATAAGACACAATAGCTGCAAACACCCAGTGTTGTATTGTGAGTATAAAGTGCAAAAACAAATGACAGCATCTGCCCCTGGAGGAGCCAGCATAGAAGGGTCAGGGACTTTCAGGCTCAGATCCAGGGTACACCCAGGCAGACTCAGAGAAGAGACTGCAGATGTTTAGGGCATGCTAAAGAAATGGCTTTTCTCAGCCCTTGTTGCTAGTTCATAGCCTGCTTTGCAGAGAAAGGGTGGCAGATGCTGGGTGCTGTGACCACCCACGATGTGCACTGGGCTTAGCTGGTGCTGTAGGATTTCTAAAGCTCCTCAGGAATGGAGTGTTTGAATCTGATTCTGCTGCCTGTGGTATGGTTTAACACACCTGCTCATGACAGCATTCTGGGATTATGCTTGGAGTCTGAACAATGAAGTGTCTTTACTTCTTGCAGGCCCTGGGATCTCAGGTTACTCCCATGCCACAGAGAAGGCAGGTCCCTCTCTGGCACAGTGCCTACAACAAGCAAAAGAGGTGATTCCCTCAGCACAGCACAAAGAGACACCCGTCTACCTCGGAGCAACTGCTGGCATGCGGCTCCTCAGGTACTGCAGGGCTTGTCCCCCTCTCCTGCACCTGGGATCACCATGGATGTGCAGTGGGGGCCTCTCAGGAGCAGTCCTTGAGTGTACTGCCAGCTCACACTGTGCCCAGACACCTTCCTCTGCTGCTGACTCTCTGAGCCCCGAGTCCCCTGCACTTTTCCATTGCTTCCCCACTCACTCCAGCCCTCCACCATCTCCTGCATCCACATGCAGCAGAGAGACAGCAGGAGATCAGCAGAGCCCAAGCTGATGCCTAGACATGCCCACAATAAAGGGACGCTCAAACATCCCCACAGTTTGCTATTACACCTAATCCCGGATTTTTGAGCCCAACCATGTTACAACTCCCCACGGAGGGCCATCAGAGGCTAAAGTAATTTTACAATCACATCCTCCTTTAATTACAATTTGTGATTTTCATGAGGGTGACCCAGAGCTCTCCTGGCTAACACAGGGAAATTATCTTAGGTACACATTGTCTGGGAAATCTTCCTGGAGATGTCTTCTGGATTTCTTCTCTAATGGTGACAGTAAAGAGTGAGAGGAGTCTCCATAGTGCAATTCCTATCAGGACACATGCTACAGAACAAGAGCTCAGGTCTCTGCTCCAAGTACCTACTCCTCTCAGCTGCAGGGCCTGTGAGTGGCAGAGCTGGTGGCAGCTGTGCTGCCAAGGTGTGACAGAGAGGACCATGGCCAGTTAGAGCTGGATGACTCCTATGAATGACCAATCTCTTATCATTGACACTTGGTGGGGAGTTGCAGCCTGCCTACTAAGAATAAAGCACATAGAGAGCTGTCAGCCAGAGTCACTCCATCCTTTCTTCCTTTCATTCAGGTTGCAGAATGAAAGTGCAGCTGACAAAGTCTTGTCCTCAGTAGGAAACACACTACGCTCAGCTCCCTTCAACTTCCAAGGTGCCAGAATCATCACTGGTCAGGAGGAAGGAGCCTATGGATGGATCACCATTAACTACCTTCTGGGCAATTTCAAGCAGGTATTATATTCATAGCAAGTACATTTGATTCATTGGCTTGCAGCACTTTTTAAGTCCTGCCTTGCAAGAAGGTGCCACAGGCACTCTCTTCCCTTGTAAGCCATTTGTCAGGGATCAGGAAGCTGCACATCTTGCCTCAGCAGTTGCTGTGAGTACATGCTGATACTTAGTGGTATCAGGATGCACCACTGTAGTCAGGCTTCAAGCACTGAAATAAAACACCAGCATCTTCAATAATTTTGCTCGGGTACAGCATCCTTCTCACTTCCTGATCTAAAAGATTTCTGTTTCTGAAAATTTGACTATGATTCTTTCCTGTTGAGCTTATAAATCTTCTGAGAGCTGAAACAGTAAGTGGATTGTTTTTTCTCATAACACTTGTATTAGATTTCATATTCTTTGCCCTCCTGCAAACACTTGGACATGATCCATCTTCTGTATTTACAAGCTTGCACTTTCTTATATCTTGTTCCAGCTCTCATCTCATGCCCCCTCCAGGACTTCCCATGTTTCCTGTGTTCTGTGCTTCTGCTTCTCTCCTCATCGTTCTTTCTCTTTTTCATTTCTCCAAAATAAATCTTGTCCATCCCAATATATCTGGTTTACTTTGATTTCTTTTTTCTCCAAGTCTGGCTGGAAAAAGCTTCTACATTCCCTGAAATCCTTAAGTGAGACATCAGGAGCACTAGACCTCGGAGGAGCCTCCACACAGATTACCTTTGTATCAAAGGACCTCTCTTCTGAGTCCCCAGAGAACCAGCTCTACTTCCGTCTCTACGGCAAGGATTACCAAGTGTACACGCACAGCTTCCTCTGCTATGGGAAGGATCAGGCTCTGCAAAAGAAACTGGCCATGGATCTACAGGCAAGTACATCTAAACCTGCAATTGAACAATCCTGGATCCTCCCAGCTTTGGGATACTGGTGCTGTAAAAGTTGCTGTGTCCCAGCTCACCTCTTAGTCTGGATTAGGGAAATGTCACTGTCCTGCATGCAGACTGGGCATGAGGTGCCCATGGAGTGACAGCTGATACTTTCAAAAGCACTACCAATTTGAGATGCTTTGATTCCTGGGCATAGGATAGCAAGAGAACTGCATTTAACTGAAGTACTCGGGGGAGGTGACATTTTACTATCTCTGAGAAACCCAACTCTACAGCACAGCTTCACAAACTAATAAATAATTTGCCCAGGGTCCTACAGGGAGGCTGTGGCAGTACCCACATCTTGCCCTGCACAGCCAGTGCCTTAAGCCATCCTTATCCCTTTGATCTGATGTGTGCCCCTGGATGTGATGTACTGTGACAAGTGCCACTCTTCCTTGTGGTTCTTTCCCAATTCTATAGCAAAGTTTAACAGCTTGGATTGATTTTTACTTTCAGACCATGGAGAACAGCGATCTCCCCGACCCATGCTTTCACAAGGGTTATGAGAGGACTATAAATATTAGTGATTTCTTCAAAAACCCTTGCACATCAGACAAGAAAAAGCAATTACCTTTCAGCCAGCTGTACATAAAGGGAGAGGGGGACTATCAAAAGTGCCGAGAAAGCATCCAGAAACTCTTCAACAAAAGCATTTGTCCTTACTCCAGTTGCTCCTTCAATGAGATATACCTACCTCCATTACAAGGGGATTTTGGGGTGAGTCTTCACTCATTCTTCAGCTCTCTGTAATCCAGAATGTCAGAAGAGCAGAAATTCAGAGTAATGCTAGAGTGCCTTCTTCATGACTGAGGCAGGAAATAATTTACAAGATGTTTTTTTGGATATGTAACTACAAAAGTAGTGCTGCATTTGCAGTGAGGAAGACAAGAGCTACCCCAGTAAATACTGGCCTAGCAGGACTGCACTGTCCCCATTTTAACCCATCTCCTTGGGGTGCTCTGTTTACTCACTTTTTAAGGTGTCCTTCCTGATGTCCAGCACCAGAGGCAGGACAGGCTGCTGCAGGCAGGAACACTGCTCCTGCAAACCTTGTCCCCTGAGGTCAGTGGTGGTACCAGACCTGGAATTCACCCAGCAGTGTCTGAGTGCTACTGAAACCAGTCAGCTCACCTGTCTGCTTCCCAGACATGATGAAGACAGTGCACACTCTGAACACACATTAGGTGTGACACCATGCTGACCATCAGTCCTGGAGCTGCAAGAGCTGCTGAGTGACTGTGAGGCTTTCCAGGGAACTGCTAATACAATCTTGCTCTGTTCCCAAGCTGCCTCCTACCTATCAGCTACTGGCTGTGGTCAGAGATGGGGTTTCTGGACCTTGGATTATATGATGGGGCTCTGTACAATCCTTTCAGACCATCACCTCTGTTCTTTGTGGTGATATTGGTTGCACACTCATCTCACTCAGTTGCCAAAATGGAATAATGGTTGTGATGGTAATCAGTGTTCACTGTGTCACTGGCATGTGTAAAGGAGAGAGCTCACTGAAGTTCTTCAGGATATCATAATTCCTACCTCCATCTCTCAGCAGCTCTGAGCCATATGTCTCAAAATGACATTACTCTTGAAAACATTCCTGCTCTTATGCGTGTGATGTTGCTTCTTATATTTCTCTATCTATAAATAAACTCATTTTCTTTTGTGGGATTTGTGGCCTAGTCAGATTAAAAGAATCTTTCTCCTTCAGGCTTTCTCTGCTTTCTATTTTGTGATGAACTTTTTGAACCTGACCAGTGAACCAAACCCCTTTGCCCTGAACAAAGTGACCAGCACCATTGAGAGCTTCTGTGCCCAGCCTTGGCAAGAGGTGAGCTGTGCTTGTTGCAGTAGACTGGGGCTGCTGATACTTTTCTGTAGGATAAATGTCTGGGGTTGATTTCCAGAGCAAGATGGGGAATATCCCTCAGCACCTGCAGTGGATGCTCAGACACAAGCTGGAGCAGTGGGAAGGTTTATTTAACAGCCTGGTGATTGCCTCCTTCCTTAGGTGAAGACAGCATATCACCACATCAAAGAAAAGTACTTGAGTGAATATTGCTTCTCTGGAGCCTACATCCTCTCTCTCCTGGAAAATGGCTATGGGTTCACTGAAAAGAACTGGCAAATGATCCACTTCCTTGGAAAGGTGTGTTTCGTAGTGGGGAGGGCTCTACCCCAGCAGTTCTCTGCCACCTCTGCTGCACAGCCTGGTGTGTGGCACTGGCACCACTTTATCCCCAGGGGTGCCACTGCTCAGGCAATGCCATAGGCAGCCTCCCAGCACTGATTCTGCTCTTGTGTTTCAGATTGGCAGCAGTGATGCAGGTTGGACCCTGGGCTACATGCTGAACCTGACCAACATGATCCCTGCAGAGGAGCCAGCCGAGCCCCCTCTCTCCCACAGCAGCTACGTGGGGCTGATGGTGCTGTGCTCCCTTGTGCTGGTGTCTGTGCTCCTGTTTGCCTGGCTTCTCTTCCACAAGCCCAAGTGCCTGCAGAAGGGGATTGTTTAGGAAGAACCTGAAGGGGAGAGGAGCCGTGTCATCCTGGCTGCTCAGGGCTAGGAGACCCCAGCAGAGCAGGCTGTACTGCAGAGTCCCTCTCACTGAAGCTACTGACTGTACAACAAGGGCATTTATTTCTTCTGAATCACACTTGCACTGACAGATGTTGGGACATCAGGCTCGCCACCTTCTCTGCCAAGGATAGACAAGCTCGTGTCCCCTCCTTGAATGGGTTGTACTTTCATTGAATGAAACTTTGCTGCTTGTTGGTTTCTGCCTTGTGCACAGCATTATAAAGAGAAAAGTGGCAGCAATCTTTGGGAGCCAGCGCTCCTGCAAGGGTTATCTCAGGGTCACACATCCCACTGAGCTCTTGGGAGCTATCACAAACAGGATGATCCTGCTCCTTCTCTGCTGAAGGTGTTCCCAAGAGCCCTTCCTGCACCAGCACACCTCTGCTCACCTCCCTGCGCCCTGAGCTCTCGCAGCCCTATAGCTGGTACAGCTCTTGCACCTGGTTGGCCCCGAAGGTGGGTCAGGCTCCCAAATGCCTCTCTGGGAAAATAAGGGATGAGGATGAAGAAACTGTGCATGCTTGTGGTCATCAGCCCTTAGCTGGGCTCTCTTGGCTGTCAGCTCCTTTTGCAGGTGGCAAAATGCCTTTTTCCCACGTCTTCCTGATGTTGTTGCTGGACCAAAGCTGGCTCACTGTTGCACTGAGCCATTCCCACATCCCTAAGGTACATCAAGCCACAAGTTCCCAGCCAGACATTGCTGCTTTTTGTAGGAAGAGCTTGTATTGGCCCAGGTTCCTTGGCCAGTAGTGATTGTTTATGCCTGCAGGGACCCTGGTGTGATCAGTGTGCCCTCAGGTATAGACCCACTAAAGCAATCCAGGGTCAGTGTGCTGATAACACAGCAGCCTCCAATCTAGGGAAAGTGTTTATTAATACATGTTCCTGTAGGCAGCTGGCAGCAGTTAACCAGCATGAGTATGCACAGATTGAACCGCTCTTTCCACCAGCAAAATTAGTGAAGATTTGCCTTTCCTTTCCTCATAGCACAGGCTTATCCTATGGCCATAAGACCCAGGGCTTGTGAGCACACATACTGCAGCCCATCTTCTAGCACACAACTAGGACGATGCCACTGATTGAGTTTATGAATCACTTTCTTCCATTTTTCCATTTCTTGGTCCAAAAAAAAAAGAGAGGTAAGTCAGAAATCCATTTTTGTGAAAACACTCAAAAACCACTGGTGCCTGTCTACCTCCCATAAAATCTCAGAAATCTCTTCTCCTAATGACCTGTAAATATGGAGGCAAAAAGAAAGCAGATGTTGTAGAGAGGAAGGCATAGCAAACACACACCTGTTTCCCCAAGCAGAGGTGTAGGAAGTGTGGAGGGGGTCAGGATGTGCAATCCCAATAATGCCTTCTCCTTTAGGCAAGCACAGACACAGAGCTCTCCCAGTCTGTCCCTCTACGCTTCCCAGGCTGGAAAATTTCACCCAGTTATTTCTACTTCATGCCTGGAAGTAGAAACCCTAATATATTGAAGGACCTAAAGGTAAGGGAAAAATCTACCCTGTCCTAAGATCTCTGGGCAGATCACTGTTCTTCCAAAAATCTGTGTCTTATTTTTGCTCTGAATTGGCTGGCTTCAGCTTCTGTTGGATCTTGTTCTGCCCATTTCCAAAAGACTGAGTAATTCTGTTATTAAAATCCCTTTTTCCTTGTTGGTGCTTGCAAGTTGTCATTATATCATATTAAATAGATTGGTTTTCAATCTGTAAATTGATCTCTGCTGACCTCACTTGTAGTCTTGACTTTACTTGTTTTAAAAGTTTTACATCTTTCTGAAATGGGGACACAAAAGTTTTCAGCATGTGGTAGAGTCACTAATAGTGTATATATTAATCTATGCTCTATGCTCACCATTCATGTATCTCTGGTCCAGATCTGTTCACTTAACAGAAAGATTTTAGGCTTTTAAGTCCAGCTGGACATTGCATCAGTCTTTTTTCCCAGTCAGTGCATTTCAGAACAGCCTTTGTCTCACATCCTACCACCCTGTCTCTCAATATGAGCCGTTTTTCTTTCTTTGTGTCTCCACTGAAAAACATATTATTCAAAGAATATTGCCCCAAGCAGATTATCCAGTTCAATCTGCAAATGACCCTTCACCATCTGTGAGTCCATTGACCAGTTTTTGTTTCTCTGCAAATACACTGCGATGTTGGAATTCAGCTAGGGATGCAGTGTTCCTTCTGTTGTTTGCAGCAATTATAGGTAAGTGAGAGATGAACAGCAGGTTTTGGCCATGGCTGGCAGGTATGCAGGAGAAATGTGTGATCAGAGCTGCTTCTGCTGCCCAGACAGCCTAATTTGCAACACACCCCACCACACACCACCTTCCTTGCTTACAGAGCCTTTGTAGCAGAGAAGATGCCCTGGAGAAGCTCCCTAGGTGAACTGGTGCATCCATCATTCCTGGGAACAGCATGGAAACATGCAGAGTGGCAATTCCTCTCCTGAGATCTCCTTGGCAATCTGGCAGCTGCTCGGTTATGTCCATTATGAGAACTGGCAGATCCATTAGGACATGCTAGAAATTGATGTAAAAACTTAATGTGGAAATTGGTGTGGAGAGAAAGCTTGTGCCAGTCTGCTCGTGTCCCTGCTAAGGATTTATGTCAGAAGAAAATGTCAAATACCTGGGAGAAGAGCTTTTCCAATGTTTTGTAGATTCATTGCAAGTCCCATAGTATTAATATTGTTAGCTCCTGATTCTGGAGCCAAGTGAGCAGCTGTCATCTTCACTTGCTCCTTCTGTCTTAATTATCTCACTTTTTGGTTTGAGTTTTGTTTTTTTTTTAAAGCTTTAAGTGTGACTTGAGTGCAATCTAAAAGGCCCAAACTAAGATAATGCAAAATATGTTGCAATATTTTTAAACCTTATGACTTTTAGACCCCATTTGTAAATCAATCTCTCTGGGATAAGGACTTCTAAGATGACAGCAGTTGAGCAGCCTGAGACCCCGGGAATTGATTGACTGAAGGCATCCTGTCAGGGTGAGACCATTGCACATCACTTCCTGGTAGTGAACAGAACCGCCTGTGATGGTTTTCTCTAAATCTCTCCTGTTATTGCAGGGCTTTATTCATGGAGGCTGCTCAAAATCCTTGGTCAAAGAGTTCAACTTTATGAACATTCATTTCTTTGCTTCTGTATTGCATCTGATCCAGCCATTCAACTCAAATGTGTGTTCCAGAATCACTCAGCATGTACATGAAGACCATTAATGAGAGTGGAGGGAGTTTCCAAATATGCCAGTAATAATGTATCATTTCTCTTCTTAATACAGTTGATCTGCCTCACTGATAATTATCTGTGCCTTATTTCTAATTTGATAGCTTCTGGCTTTAATTTCTAGACACTTCCTGCTTTACCATTTTGCTTTTCTGGGTAAAGCATCTTTTAACATCACATGTTCATGTCTATCACATATTTACTCACTGTTCAGCTGTGCTGTGCTGCCAAGACTCCAGACCTTGGTATCTGCTGAAGAGAGATCTCTCCTGGGCTCCTAGGAAGCTCTGAGATGTGCTGCAGCAAGGTGGGATGAGTGTTTCTGGTTTGGGTTCAAATGTTGATTGGTCCTTTTTTGAGGCGGATCCTTGCAGAGGTTTTTGATAGCTTTGCAGGGTGCAAGAGCAGCCTGGTCTCGCTGGGACTGATGACCTCCATGAGCTCTGCCATGTCCAGTCAAGTGTGGGGCAAAGCTCTCAGAACCTGTCAGAAGAGACAGCCTAGGTACCTGCAGTACCCTCACCTCTTGTACCTGCAGTACCCTCACCTCTTGTAGGAAAACTGATCCCCACTACAGGCTCGACTCTAAGCACCTTTCACTCCTCTCCCCGATAAAGCTGCCTCTCCTCTGTGCACAGCTGATTTCTCCAGCCCTACAGCAAAGCACCGTGGGGCCTCAACTTGGAAGAAAGCTCTCAGAAGTGGGGCCATCACCTCTGCACTGGAAGGCTGATTTGAAGTGTTGGCACCGGCCAGGGCTTTCCAGTTTGTCCCAGAGCTCTGGGCCGGATGTGTGCCCCTTCATTCTCCACCCCAGTTCTTCCCGTGCTCTGTGCCAGGCAGGATGTGCAGGCTCTGCAGGGCTGCCAGCTTGTCACAGGCTCAACAGCCTGTTCAGGAGGGACTGGGGAGGGAACACTGAGGACAACAGTCCCTGCCACGCAGGCCATGTGTTTTCCTTCCGTGGCCCAATCCTGAAGAAATGGATCTTTGTTTTGATGCACACACAAGCCTCTGTATGCTTATCATAATAAAGACTTCTGAACTGATGCCAGAAAAGTTTTCATGCTGTTTTCCAGAAGATGGGACCTTGCCAGCAGTGGAATGGAGCTTCTGGCACTAAACATGGAAAAGTCCTGAGATGTGATTTCCTCTCTTGCCAGTTCCTTGATGCTCTCCCGGGTCAGCTCTGAAGTTCCTGGTGGATGGGTAGCATCCCCTCCTGGTAGAGAAAGGCACTGTGGTTTTTTCCCAGGCTCTGGGCACCTCACACAGGTTGTCTCACTCCTGGGAAGGCTGCTAGTGCCCAAACCACATTTATTTGCCTTAGCTTCATCCTGACCTCCTCAAAGCAGTTTGCTCTCTCAAGCTGTGAACTGGACAGAAGCAGTCCTCTGTTCTCATTTTCCCTCTCCCTCCACCAGGCAGCCCCACTGGCATCAGGCTGGCACTGTAGCCCACCTTCCCAGCCCCCTAAACAGGTGAAGGACAGTGGGCCTGTGCCCCTTGCTCACAGGGCTGCATGTCTCTGTGTGCAGCCACAGCCATAGCTCCACCAAGGCAAACAAAGCTCGTCATAGTTGTTATTTTTCTTTCAGCACACACTCCCCACAGTTCACTCATTCTTATGGCTATTAGCTTGAACTTTCCTCAGATTTTCCAGTCTTCTTCTGCTAACAATATGGCCAGAACTAAAGTGAACCCATCAGATGGAGTCTTTCCAGGGCAAGTGCCAGCAGAATCAGCTCTTTGCTGCCTGTGCCCATTAGCAATGTAACAGTGGGGGGACAGGGCTTGCATTCACATTCCTCTCACTTAGAGAGGGAGCATTCCTGCTCCCCTTCTTTCTCCCATTGCCTCAAGGTCTCTCCATTTTCGAACATCTGGGTGGGGGTGGGGGAGTGTATGATCCATCCCAGATGTATTAGCTGTATTTTCCAAATGAAGTCTTTATTTACTTCACTGTTTCTAAGTTCTAACATCTTCTATTGTTTGTTTCTGCTTTCATCAGCGTTTTCAAACATGTCCAAATTTATTATGGGATTAAAGATCCATTAGGTTGTCATTTTCCTAGAACGTGTAAAGGCCATGCTAGGTCAGATCAAACAGGCAGCACATTGGCACTCGTCTCCAGCTGTATGGTGGGCGAGGATTTAGAGGGATAGGGAAAAAGCATAGTCCTTTTCTTCTACCCATCAGGGGCTTAGGAAATTTCAAATTTCCTAAGATCAAATGATTGCTTCAAGATCTGATAACTGTGGGTGCCCCTATGTGGGTTCTCTATGAATTCATCTTATTCTCTTTTGCACTCATTTAACTTTCAGCTTTGATGATGTAATTTCATGGTGTCTTTTGTGCAAAACTATTTCCTTTTGTGTGCTTTAAACCTGCTGCCTGATAACAGGCTGCCTTCATCCCTGTGCTGTGGGATAACGCTGACTAACTCTCCAGACCCAGTAGTGTGTTAGATGTGTTCTCCACCCACATGAGATTTTGCCCATGCTCCTTTTTAGGCTCTAATGCTCTGGCATTTCTTTTTTTACTGTTGTTTCTCACATCAGTGTTGCTTGCCTACATAGGAAAGCAAGAGCTTTCCTCATGTGTCCCTTGGCAGCACTGCAGTTCCAACTCTGCCACTGCTGTCCCAGGCTGCTGAAAGCAGCCTAGGAAGGGAAAGGGGAGGGTGAAACTGGCCAAACATGGGGCTTGTGCTGTTTTACTATAGCCCTGCCTAACACTCTCTGGCTGCCAAGTAACACTGGGTAGTGCTGGAAACCTGCCCACGACTCTTTCACATGGCCTTCATTGCTGAAGCCTGGGGAAAGAGCAACTCCAGGGGAACCCAGCAGCCCTGGGAGCAGGGATGTGAAGGAGGTGAAGGCATTTCCCACTGTTGTTGTGGGCTGCCAGCTTTGCAAAATACTACCAGGCTTGTCTTGCTGTAGAGACAAGAGCTGTCCTACCATATCCATGCTCCCCATGCTACATTCCCCTTGGTTTCTGGCATGTGCTGGGAGAAGCTATCACCCCCTGCACTGACTCTTGTTACCTGGCTACAGACGGGTGCAATGTCATTCCTGCTCCTGAACATGTGCTGCTTTCAGACTGGCTGACAAGCAGGGATGTGAGGGGATGAAGCTTAACTAGGAGAAGGTATTAATATGGTTGCTGCTATCTCTATACATGTATAATGTTCTTCTTCTTCTGCTCATGTCTTCAAAAGGACATTTTTTCAAAAACAGAGGTTTAAGAGGGAACTGTGCAGATGGGGCCGAAGACCAAGAAGGCAAAGGGTCAAGGAGAGAAAGGACCACTATGATGGTGCTGGGGCAGAAGAATATTGGATATGGGAAAGCCTGAGTAAGCCAAGTCATGAGCAGGCAATCCATGTGCCTCGACCACCAGCCTGTACAGTTTGCATCAGAGCC